CTTTGTGAACCACACGTGTCACGAGAGTTTCTCTGTCGAACGGGGCAAATCTCACATATACAGTCCATCTTCCTTTTCTTAAGCTCTGAGACTGGAGAGATACACAGATGTTTCATTATGTTATGCCCTCATGTACAAGGTTTTACATTACTTCCACCCTTCCTCTTGGAAGGCTATCTATTTTTATATACTGTAGTATACATCCTGTCTGGAGTTTTCACTTATTTTCAGCACCAGGAGGAGGTACGTAATTGGTTTGTCCTGTTTATATATGGCTGATGAGTCCCAAACAAGATGGAACTGGTCATGTAATGCCTCCTGGTGCTCAGTATAAATCAAGTAACAGAGCACTCCTAAGCAGAACACTCCAAAGTGCTCTGATATTTCCATTGCAGCATAGGTGACAGATCAGTAGGGTGGAATTGCAAGGAAAAACAATGTTTGCAGCCCTTCCAGACACTCTGGTACAAATAAATTCTTGGGGCAAATAAATAAAAAACAGTTGCAAATATATACCTTCCCTCTATTTTTCAGTTGTTTTCGTTCTTCCACTGTGGTGAGATAGTTTACAGCTGCATATTCAATAACCGACAGGAAGACAAAAAGAAAGCTGATCCATAAGTATACATCCACAGCTTTTATATAAGAGACCTGGGGCATTGAGGCACTTACTCCGGTGATTATGGTTGACATTGTTAGCACAGTAGTTATACCTGCCAAAAGGAAAGGAAAAGATAGGAGTGCTGTCAGTTTGTTCTTGCATTTTATGAAAGTATGCACAAAATGTGTGTAAGTGGCTGTGTAAAGAAGGTAGATACCTTCTTTTCTTTCTTTCCATTGTTAGAAAATGTAGCATTTATTATAACAACTACACGGAACACTTCATATAAAGTTGTTACCAGATTTCAACCAGCACACAAAGTACAATAGCAACATTAACTTAATAAAACCACTAATTTATTTATGGTTTTAACTGAAAATATTGAAGCTGCCCTTGATCTTTTTCCACTTTATCCTTGGGAAATGATCCCAGTTCTATTTGTCTTAGTAAATCTGTATGCAGAATTAGGAAATCTTTTAACTCAAACTTAGGGTAAAATGCAGTATGAAAAATATATTTGATTACAATTTTCAAGTTCCTTGTAAATCATCCTGTGTCCACTTTTTGGAACAAATTATCCCTTCTGTTTGGTGGGGATTTTACAAATATTTAATATAAAACTCAATATTTATTTAAGATAGTTTATTGTCATGTTAAGAATAATAAATGTAGTAACTATGGTAAATTAGGTGAGAATAATAGTTGTTTACTTTTAAAACATTCTCCAATTGCTATTTTAGCAAATTCCTATATCTACATACTACTAAAACTCTCATTGTGTTTATCTGTTTGTCCATTTGTACCCTCAAGTTAGCCCAAATGGTGCATTATACCTCAACAGTTTTTTAATCAAGGCACCTATAACCTGCTAACTTAAAGAATGTGTAAAAAATCTGGGACCCATTACTCCTGTGGAATTGAAATTTCCACGATGTTCAGACCAGTTTTATTCACAAAGTTGTGGCTGTTGCAGAATCCCTGTGGTCATGTGATCGTGACTTTCAATGCTCCTTGCCAACTTCCCACAAGCAAAGTCAATGGGTAAGCTGGCAGGAAGTTGGAAGTCGCTCCCACTCCTTTTTTGCCCACCCATGGTCATTCTGTTTATCTGTTTAGGTAAGTAAATATTGACTTATTACTGAAGTTCATTTACCACTACAATTATTTTTCTATTTATGATACATACTCTTCTTAGATGACATGGGACCATTCAGCATTGGGGTAAAAAAATATATGGTCAGCCTAAAATTTAATGTTCATTCTGGTCCCATCAGTCTGCACTATCTTTCTCTCAAAGGATGATCCAGTGGGTCACAGAATTGTCTAGTTATTATTATTGCCATCATCATTATTAAAAACTGACAGCTCTTAAGAGTGTATCTTAAGATAGAAGCAAAATTCCACAGGGGAATACTGTTCTGTTAGTTACGATGAATAATGGAAAATTAATATTCGCTTTTAAAACTTTCTAGCAGTCTTGATTCTAGAAGCAGGTACGTCAAAACAATGACTTGAAAGCTAGGATATCACAATCCCTTAAAATCATGTTTTTAAGCATCATAAATTTATAACACATAAATTTGGTAGACAGATAAATAAATAATCTTCGCTGAGAAAGAAAGCCAGTGAGCTGTATGTTTTCACTTATTCTACAATTAATAATTTAAGAAGAAAGCATCAAGTATCAATTATTTATTTGGTTTCAAAATATATCATAATATCTTAAGCAGGATTTTAAAACAAGGTAGAGAGTGGCTTCAGATTCTTTTTCCGACTCCTTTAGCAACAGTGGCCTTGGGAGGCAGCTGCAGCTTCTTCTGTGTGAGAAAGCAGTGCGTTACTGCAGTATACCTGCACACACTTTCTCTCCAGGGACTAATTGGGGTGTCTACATAGATGTTGCTTTTACACAGGTGTGAGTGTAATCAGGATGGATACACACGTGTTGCCTCAGTGTCTGTGCATAGGTGTATGCGTGGTGTGTGTGAGCGACCAATCGTACTGTTTTCAGGCAGAGCAAAGTGATTATTGCCTCTGGAACAGACCATTTTCCAAGAAAAGTTGAGTTAATGATTCTTTCAGGCAATCTACATTTCCTCTTGTTATACTGCACCTCAGAGCACCTTTATGATCAATGGACAACTTGTGGAAGGAGGAGCTCCATTCTTTTTCTTAATAAGGGAAAGGAAAGCTATATAAAACTAAACAGAACAGAATAATTATTATCTGCTTTCCTATAGTCAAGCAGCCCCTGTAAGACACTTCATAAATACAATGTAACTAATAACCACCAGGCTCTCCTACACAACCTAAAATAGTTTATAATGAAAATTTACCTAGTGATACCCTTGCAGGAACAGCTCTTCGGTCAATCCAAAAGGAAACCCAAGATAGCATCACCATCAACATAGAGGGGAAATAGGATTGTAAAACAAAAAAGAAAATATGTCTCCGTAGAGCAAAGTTTATGAAAAGTCGATTGTACCAACCTGATGAGAAACAGAGACATTTGTTCTTAACACCTAGCCCATACAATATTATGTTATCCTTTTACTTCGCAATGCCTTACTAAAGAATTACATTTCTCTAATGAGAAACTTGTTAAATATTTACTTAAATGCCCTTCTATAATTACCCTTAATCCTAATGTACTCTGCAATGCAAATCATTCCATCCCTATTTTGGATTATATTCCCATTTGCGTTTTCACTCTGCCTGTGCTTACTTCACCTGGCTTAAGGTCCTTTTTAAACCCGACTTATTGAGGTGAGTTCTACCTTTAAATAGCTGCTTTAGTTATTTATTCTAGAAGCTACATTTGTGCCAAAGGCTTATAACCTCCAGATTTATTTTTATAACTCTTGTTATTCAAGCAGGTTTCTATAAATAAATCTGAGAAAAATCATGTCTAAAATCCTCTTGGACAAGGTTGCAGTATGGATATATTTACAATATTACTATGGGTTCAATCTCCAACTCCACTTCATAGAACAGCCTTCTCCAGTTTCCCACTCACACCTTAGGATATAATTGTCATCATCCTCAGGCCAATCGCCTGGAAACCCTGGATGGGAATTATAGCAGATATATCATAAACATTTGGAGGCGCAACCTGAGAATGACTCCCATTGACTTTTAACAGCTAACTCACTGAACATACAAACTGCTGTGGATCCTATCACTGAGACTTATAGTGTATGGCTATTTAAGCACTGAGCAATCTCAGTAGAAGATTGAGGAAGGGAGAATTAATTGCATTAATCCATAGCAGAGACATCAGCCAATTCAACAGGATGTAAAAATCCTGTATATTATGGGCTAGGTAACAAAAAGCTTCCACTTCTGCAATACATCAACACAGCACTATAGAGAAATAAGAAGAGGAAGGGGAGTAAAGGAAATGTTGCCCAATTATAGGCAAATGTAACTACAGGTAGTCCTCACTTAATGACTGCCCTATTTAATGACCGTTCAAAGTTACAACAGTGCTGAAAAAGTCATTTTACGACCAGTCCTTGCACTTATGACTGTCACTGCGTCCCTGCAGTCACGTGATTGAAATTTGTTTCACAAATCGGCCTGCATTTACAAATGTCACAGTGTCGCACAGTCACGAGATCACCATTTGCGCATTTCACAGCTGGCTTTTGACAAGCACAGTCAATGGAGAACCTGGCAGTAAAATCACAAGTTGCGGCCACGTGATGTGTCACTTCATGACCAGGTCGTTTAGTGGTGGAGTTGCTGGTCCCAATTGTCATTAAGTGAAGACTACATGTATAAAGAATTTCAATTAACACCACTGCACTCTTATATGTCTGTCTAATTGATTTAACTTTTTCAATTTTTAAAAAATTGATATATTTCAGAAATGATTAAAGCAGACTTAACAGCTGGAAATGGAGGATCAATTAATATTTACCTCTTTTTATTTCTACTTCTCAGCAAGGTGAGGAAGTCCTTGATGCAAAGTAACATTCCCTAGATACCTTTTAAAGCCTAATTAATAAGTCTGTAGACTATTGTCAGCCCTTCAAGATAGACCAGATTTGAACATAAAAGTTACGAATACTAAAACTACTTTTATTATAGGGTTACAGTAACAGAATCTTGCAAGTCTGAAAGCACCACCCCCCTCCCTGCCTTCATTCTACAAGAGACCTAGGGAAGGTCACGTCTCAGGCTTTTTCTCACATTACATTTCTGCTTTAGATTCAAATTTCTTTCATCTGACCATTGTCTTGATTGCAGCTCTTCTTCCTGTCCCTCAGTTATTCTCACAGCCCATTACAATTATATATATTCCATCTGAGATTTAACCTGGATGAAATATAAGGGCCAGTTGTGTCTTTTCCTAGACCAGGAAGTCCTTCAGACAATCACTCATGCCTTAGTCACCTCATGAATGGACTACTGTAACACTCAGTCCACTCAGAAGCCACAGCTGGTCCAGAATGCAGAGGCATGGGCAGTGATGGGCTTGACTCATTATGACCTTGAAGAAGGCAGTGGTGCACCCTCTCCTTAGGAAGCTATCACTAAATCCAATGATTCTAGACAATTTTCATCAGTCTTAAACTTCCTTTTTTAGGGAGGATTTTTGAGAAAGTGGTTGGGCTTTACTCCAGAGGATCCTGGAGGAGATGGATCATCTGGATTCATCTTCAGTCAGGCTTCAGGCCAAGACAGCATTGGTTCCGCTTGCTTATGTCCTATGGCAGAACTAGGATACGGGTAGTGTGTCCATCCTAGTGCTCCTTGATCTCTCAATGGCTCTCTATATTGTCAATCATAGTATCCTTTTGAACCAGCGGCAAGGGCTGAGAGTGGGTGTCACCATTCTGCAGTGTTCTCCTTTCTTTGTAGCTGCTTTCAGTTCCTGCTCAAACAGCAGCTGGGGGTTGTGGCCAAGTGAAAATGACATTGCATTAACTTGTAGTGAAAATTCTATTCATGTGTAAGTTGATAAATGTCCTACATCTTTCCATTTTAGAAAAGTTATTAACTGGGTTTGCTATGTACACACTTCTATCATTGTATATAGAAATCTTAGCCATTTCTTCCACCTGAGACTATGCAAGTTTCACTGAGTCCAGCATGACTAACTTCCAGGGGAATAGAAAGTTGTAGCCTTGGTAGCTCTTCTCTCTAGTAATTATTGTTCACTGACCTTTCCAGTTAGAATCAGTTAAACAATTATCAATCTTACAGCCAAACTGTTCCTTTCTTAGACACTAGCACAAAATTCTGTTTTAATTAATTGAATGTGAAATTTTGAATAAGCATTTGCTGACAATGTATTAATGCCTCCAAGAATTATTCTGATAACTTAATGTGTTCTAAGTATCCTCTTTGAATCATCAGTCAAGCACAAAAGTATTAAAATTATTTGATTTGCAGTTATGTATTCAGCTATAGTTTACACTGCAAAACAAGACTTCAGATGAAACATTCTTTGGAAAAGTGGTTTGTTGGTCAGTAGACAAATTGCGTAAAACAATTAAAGTAGGCATAGAAGGCTCAAAGTACAATCATGACCACTTTATTCATCCAAGAAAGGATGTGAGGAAGCCTCAGCTTATTCATTTAATTAAAAACCACACTAGGTCTTTTACTATCTTTATAAAATGTATGGATTTAATGTAAAGTTAATAAAACAATATATAAATCAAAGGCTAAATAAATACTGTATATCCATTGTGTAGAAAAACAGTAACTCTTTTGAACTGGTTTTTTTTTTGTTTTTTGTTTTTTGTAACCCTACTGATGATATTATTTGCTAAGGTCAAAATCAATTTAGAGAGGACATCTATTTCCCTCTCTCATGAATACTATACCTGTACTGCTGTAGAATGCTAATCCACTAGAAGCACTGAATTCTTCAATGAAAAACTGAGAAAGAGAAATGTGCTCATCTATGCTTAAAGATTCATTGCCATGTTTCCAGTACAGCATCAAGTCTTCTTCATTGTAAGCATCTGTGGAATCATTAAAAAAAAGTTGGCTATGACTGTTATTACACATAAGTACATATCAACTTTCTCCAGTCTCTTGCTTTCCTGCTATGTTTGACCACGACCAGTGGCACACCTAGCATTTTGACACCTGAAGTATGGGTGGTAGAATCTTTGTGGGATGACTGACCTGGTAATGTTTGTGTTATTTTGCCAGAAGTTTGGTTTTGTATTGTGGGTTTTTTTGGTATCATTTTGTATTACATTGTTTTAACTGTTTTTAGTTGAATGCTATCCAGAGTTGTAATGGAGTTGGGCAACCTATACAATGGATGGATGGATGGATGGATGGATGGATGGATGGAATGAACTACTCTTGCCTCCTGCCTGATCTTGCTTTGGCCTCTTCTAGCTGCAAGTAGCAAAGCTAAAGGCTTAGCTCTCCCCATTCCCCACATGCGAAGGGAAAATGGATGAACCATTTTCTTTTTGGTCATTGCAGCATTATGGTCAAATCGTGGTCCCTAAATTCAGTTAGAACATGAATGGGAGACCACCAACCTGTAGGCTAGACTGGAAAGTAAAAAAAATAAAATAAAATAAAAACACATTGGAAGAAAGCAGTGGCAAACTATTTCAGTGTTGCTAAGAAAACAGAATGGATGTGTCCATAAAATCAACAGAAGCCAACTTTGGCTTCAGGGAAACTTTGTGTTTATTCTGTCACATTCAAATTACAATTTGGTAGCAGTATTTGAGGTGTTTCTGGGGCTACACTTAAGACTTGGGGGCAAATGTGACCCAAGGCTGGAAACTAATTATCTCTGTTTTTTGCATCCATTGTCATTTTAGAACACAGGTGCACAACTGTCATTTTAGAGCACAAAAATATATTGAAAATTCTATATTTTCATCTGTCTCATTTCCCTTGGTAAATGAGACAGATGAAAATAAAAACTTTCAATATATTTTTCTATTTTTTTTACTGGCACAGAATAGGAATGGGCTACTCTGTCTTCTTTCACAAAAGTTTAGAGATTTGGGGGGAGGTCAGTTCCCAAAAGCATTTGATAACACTAGTGTTCTTCAATATCCAAATGTTGATTTACACACCTTTAAAATGAATTATAAGTAAATCTACCTATCACATTTGGAAATTATATGTTTTAGCAAAGCTAGACTTACAGCTTTCCAACTCTAGAGAACAATTCTGAGTGTCAAGTGGGAATCTACTGAAGTCCATGAAACACATAGCAGAAACTGTTATCCTGTCAAAAGCAAATAATAGACAATAACCTTCAATAATCATAAAATAATTCACAATATATGAAATTCTTAAATAAGAAAGGTTTCAATGGGCTCCTATATTTATTTTTCCAGTTTTCCTAAACGTGCTGTTATTCTCTCACATTTTAATTCAGAGAAGTAGAATGTATCAAATGTGGACTATCTCTTCTTGTTTCAAGATTTTTATAGCAAAAACAAGGCTACAAAGGGCTTTTGAGGGGCAAAGCTCCAACAATATGGAAGAACTCAGTTCTCTTTCCCTCTATCATATCCCAATCATAACAGGTCAGGATAAGTATTTATCTGTTGTCCACTGGTACCAGTGATGTTCTCCAACAGCATGAAACTCCCAGTTGCTATGATTTTGGAGGGGGGGATTAAGAAGTAGCAGTTATCATCATCATCTTTCTGCCATTGAGAGGAACCTCTGTTACCAAACTCTCCTCTCCCCAGTTTCCCACCATTTTCTTTTTATTCTTGCCAAACCAACAGAATGTTGGAAAGAAAGTATGCAAAGGAGCCTAACTGTCTGTCCAACAGCATGATCATCCTCTGAACAGAATGGGACAAAATCTGATGTAAGGAGGAAAAACTGGCAAAAGAAAGACTGACTTCAGAAATGGTCTGAATCTGGTTGGGGGCTGCAGACAAAAAAATTCTCCCAGTACATCCCTAGAGGGACTTGGGCAGCAGCTTAAAATATACTGTAGATGACTGTTTATAATGGAAACTACCTTCCCTCCTCCCTCCAAGTCATTTCATCCAAAGCAGAGCATATGCAGCTCTCCACATGCTTCGCAGTGGACACATTTATCCAAACATGTGGCCACTGTTGGTAAAGGGGTTGGGAAGAATTCCAGAAGCCATACTCTGCATGCTTTACCAACCTTCTTTCTTTCTTTCTTTTTCTTTTTTCTCTGATTTATGACCAGAACTCTTTCCTTCACCCTGAGATTTTCAACTGAGCTTTCTAATACAACCTTATATTGGGACATTTTTTTAGATCAATAGCTGGAACGACCTTCAAGATATCTCCTGTGGGTTATACGAGACTTATCAGCAGAGCCAGAGGTCCATCTCTTGACTAAAACTCACCCCAAGGATCTCTTTCTCGGAGCACAGGGAAATGATGTCATTATGTTGATAAGTCATTATGACTCAGCAGAAGCAATATTTGTGTATTCTTTGGGAATTGGCAAAATATACGTTACTTTAGTTGTTTTAATCCAGAACAAGGAAATATTCATATTTGGCAGTGTGGATAGACTAAAATTCAGGGACCCTGGCTTGTCTAAAGCAATATGACTTTAGTGACTAGACAGATGCAAGAATAGATAGACATGGAAGAAACATTGCAGTGAAATCAATCTGTGCGGCTGAAAGTCATACAACACTGATGGAAATTCATGGGAGATTGCATAGGCTCTACTGGTTATATGAATAAACCAGCCTTCCTTAAACAGATATATTCCAAACATGTTGATAAATTATAGCATTCTTATGATTTTTATAGCCATTCTAGCTAAGAATTATGGGGAAGTATATTCCCATACATCTGGAAAGCACCAACTTTGGGAGGACTGAGCTAATTTATCCCACTTCCCATGGTAATTCTTCCATGTTGTATGTGTTCTCTGACTGAAAGAGAAAAGATCTGTGCTTACCGTAAACTGAAGAGCACATTGCCATCTGGGTAGACACGTAACATAATATTCTCCATGGTTGTGTCATGGATAAAAGATCTTTTAGAATGAACAAAAAATGTGTCAGGTACCCAAATCTTTTTTATTAACCTTCCATCAAAGGTCATGCTTCTGTTTGTGGTACTAGGAAATGAGAGTCTCTCATCCTTCCAGTAATGCCTGAGATACAAAGTCATTGTAAAGTCCTACATAAAAAGAAGAGGAGAAAAAATACTAGATATGCATTCATTCATTTAATAATATGATCTGTAGAAGTTGCCATGGCTAAAAATAGTTTTTGAGTAGGTAGACTATGCAACTCTTGGGATTCAAAGGCAAAAAAGTACTTTGGAGCATGTAGGGGCATGGTCCCAGGAAAAGGTGTGACTGCTTTAAGGAGCTGCAGACAGATGCTCTGTTCACATCTCAACATACCCTGTAACATCTTTCTTGCGCTTGAATCCAAAGCACTTCACAGCCATATTAAGTAGATACTGTGACCTAGTTTATTCACAGAATCCTTCAGCATGATAGAGTACTGTTTAATACAATGTAGCCAATACTTTTAGCAGTACAGATTGCATCACGTTCAGCAGTAAGTTCATTATTCAGTATTTCAATAGATTTAAAATTACAATAAATTTTAGAAAAAATGCTTTCTGTCTATTGAACACTTATAGATCTTTTTATTAAAAAAATTGGAGGGTTGAGCTAATTTTTGGAATGTAGTGCTCAAAATGTTCATATATCATAGTTAAACTTTATAGTAGCTCCCTGTTGGACTCAAAAATTCCTCTTAGTTCACCTATTAAGTTTGTTCTGGAAAATTCACAGATTTTTGTAGATCCTTATGTTCATGGGGAGCCACAGGGACAAGTATGTCATGACACAATCCCCATAACTTATGTAATTGCATCAGATATCAGGATGCAAGTACATAAGGGCAGGACTTACATCATGACATCACCATGCAGACATCATAATTTGGACATAATCTTGGTATGCTGTATTTGCCCACGCTTACATATTCTGAAAATACATACCAACAGCTTGGAGATTAATGGGAGGATATTGGAAATGGATATTACAGGCTTTAATGGTCACAAAGAAATCAATATTATACTGTAATGCTGAAATGACACACATTCTCTGCCAATTACACAGTGATGTGAACAAGTCATCTCTCTTTCCATTTAATAGGGCTATTGAGAAATTCGGGCTGCCTCCACTAATTTATATGTTTAATTTCCTTCTTGCATTATTGTGAAAATAGTGATAATTTAATTATAGAATATTATATGAATAAGTAGGGCTAATTTTTTGCTTTTGCTATAAAAGATTCTTGTTTATATAAGGTATTTCTCAGTTTCTCAGATATACAGGTAGATAGATAGACAGGCAGACAAATAGATATAGAACAATTTGTTGTGCAAATTTGGACACCACTTGCTTCCTGAATGGTATTTGAAGATCCTCCCCCTGCAAAAAATCTTTACATCTCTAATCTATCACCAAATTGCTGATTATTTCACCTGCATTCTGAATTACTTCTTTCAGCAACTGAAGGAAAGCTTACCATGTCAACTTCTGAAATACTATCGAGGCTTTCTACTTGCACATCAATGCCCACTGGTATGGGTGATCCTTTAACATACAGAGAACACACAGCTGTAGTAAAACAGAAGCCTGCAAACATTTTGAATCTTTTGCATCATCAGAGTTTAGCTACAGCTTAAATATGGACTTCTCCATTGCCTTGAAATTTAGTTAGAAGCAACTGTGTGAACGCTTTTTTCCAAACAGAAGTAAACCTTCTGATCATACTCAGGAACTGGCAGCAACCCAAAGTCCATGGGAGCTATCAATAGTTCTGGATGTAACTTGTACACACATTGGGTCACCTGATGTTGCTTACTACTTCAAAGGTTGGTGAGCACAGGACACCCACTATTTTGTATTTCATAAAATACCATCATGTAAAGCTACGAATTCTTGGAAGTTTAGAATGATGGATACTTTGCATTTTCAAAATTTAGTAGGCCCCCAAGGGCCAAGTTGGCTAATACACACTGGAGAAGCCAACAGGCTTGGAAATATACAGTGGTATATTCCCCCTCCATTGTACCTAGAGCTCACCTTGCTACCATTAACCCTGTTAACAGGGAAAAAAGCTACAGTATAGACTTTACATACTGCTGTGCAGCTTTTTGACTGGCCATTGGGAAAAGAGGATGCTGTATTAGAGGGCATGCGGCCCTTCTCAAAATGTTCTGCTTTCGTTCTTAATGCTTCTGGGATGCAAAAATAGTTCCATGGCAATTGGTGCTACTTACACAGGAGTGTGCCACACATTTTGGAGCAGGCATTATAGCACTGTATTGTAAGATTATAGAAGTACAACATATTTCATAAATGACCTTAAGAATTCATGACTTTTAAAGTCAAATATACAGTTAGTGTGTGTCTTTTCCATTCAGCTTCCAAAACTGGGAAAATGTTAAGAAGCAATTTAAGGCTCTTCACTCCCTTACTTAAAAAAATCTTATATCCGATCTTTCCAGTCATCAGAATAAATTCTCTCCTTTCTTGTGTCTAGCTGAATGAAAGTGAATGCACCAAAAAAAAAAAAATTGTTATGAAATGGACTCACTTTAACAGTTCCCTATTAAAGTACAGAATGATTTATAATGTTTGCAGCTTCCAAATAAACATGGAGCTTTTCCCCCTGATTTTTATATTTAAAGCCTCTTAATAAAATTCAGTATGTTGTTGCATAACTTTTCAAACTAGGTCATATGCAGATTGTAATGTTTTCTTTAATCACAGCCATTTTGGGACTATGGAGTTGGAAAACAATTGTTAACATAATATTATTTCAGTAACTGAGGCATGCTACCATACAAGCATGCATGCACCCAATGTTGTTGCAACCTTCATTCTGCTGGTTTTAAACTAAATCACATAGTTATTATTTTTGTACAACTGTAAATATAGCTTTTCTTGTTAGCTCAGCTAACATTGTATAGTGAGTGGAGCTTTTAAGTCTAGGATGTAAATTTCTGCATTCTCAGTGCAGTGGATGATCTGATTTCTTCTGGGTCTTGTGTTGGATGTTGGCAAACTACCTAATGAGAGCTCATTCAAAGCACTCGAAAGAATTAAAATTAAACCAGCTATCTTCTTCCACTGCTAGGAAAACCCACCACAGCCAGGAAAACCCTCCACTGCCAGGAAAACCCACCACAGATGAAGCAGGTGACCCATTGAAGTTTGCCAAGCCCCTCATGGTACTTTGGTGGATTTAATTAATGGTGTAAAGCAAGAGGAGATTGACACTAGCCTTGATACCAGCAATTTTCCCTCACATAGCCTTTTTATTCAGTTACAATAATTCTGTGTAGAATTAGTGCATAGAATAGGAGAACAGATTCCAGAACAGCCATTTTCCAACTAAATCTCTACAGATTCATCTGGGTGCATTCAAAAATAAGTCATTGTTAAACACATTTCCCTCACATTTTTTAAAATTAAATTAGAAACATTTAGCTTCACCATGGTTGGGAAGTGCAACCAGATATTGGGGGGGGGGGGAACAGACCACCAAGGAACAGCACATTATACCTTTAACTGAATAGTTACCTCAGCTTGTACAACTCAAGCTTCTCTATAATGTTAGCATAGAGGTCACCAACCTTTTAGAGCCAGAAATTTTGAGAGCATGTTAAGCATTTTCACAAAATGGCTACAGGGGTGGGTGTGGGCAGTAACAAAACAGCTATTTATCAGAAAGCAAACTGGGAACATTGCTACCCACTATCCCCACACACATAACCTCTACAACCCAAGTTTAATTCTATCTATTCCAGGTTATATGGGCATACTTCCAGATAAAGTATCAGGTTGCAGCTCCCTGTAATTTTTATTTTCTAAGAATGCATTCTGGGGATATGCAAGATCCAGAAGCAATATTGGAAATAAAAATTACAGTATGCTTGAGGCTGGCACTTTGTTTTGTAACTAGCTCACTTTCAATTTAATTTAAAATAATAAAGAAATCAGGAGAATGGCATGGCATGGCATGGCATGGCATGGCATGGCATGGCATGGCATGGCATGGCATAGCTATTTTTACCTCCAAAGCCAGGTCTCATGGCAAAATCATGGTTCTCTATGCGGAGAAGTTGTTCCGATTTCATGGGCCATATTTTAGTGCTGTCTAGTTTCTTCATCTTAATTTCTTGTTTGCTGCATTAAATA